CTGAAAGAGGAAGGCTGAAAGGCGATATGAACACCATCTGTGAAACCACCAAGGAAACAGATGGGGTAAACATAGGTTTATTCAACCTAAATCCCAGTGTGCTAGAATTACAGGCTACTCTTTGAAGTCCAAAAGAGGTAAATTTAGGACACATAAGATCAAATATGAATTTATACTGTTGTAAACTCTTGAAACCTGAGGTCAAGAGATAATCTGGGTCAAAATAGAACTGGCTTTGTGAAATGGGAAAAAGGGACATAAGTCCAGTTTAACAGGATTTTTAGGACACTGTCAAAGTTCTAATCCCTACAAAGCAACAAAACCAAACCCAAGATAAAGCATGTGAGAAAGGATGTTTGCTCTAACAGAGAGAAAACGGACAATGTGAAAACTGGTGAGAAGGTTTCTTATTTTAAACAAAGAGATGCAACAATTCCTGGGAAATCTAATTAGAGTTTGAGCTTGTTCTTTGATACTCTTTACTGACAACCCCTCTGCCCTGACAGTTCTATAAACCAGTGAGCTCAGGGCCCCTCTTGTCCTAGGATTACATGGATGACTCTGGATGGACAAGAGAGTTTTATATTTTGAAATACAAACTTTTCAGAAAAAGAGGCAAGTTCATTGTTCCCCAACGTCTAGGATCAGAGGGATAAAATGCTGAAAGGGACTGAGATCCTTAAAAGGAGAATTCTGATAGCCCTATCCAATACTCTAATAAAAACCTAATTAATGTTAAATAATTTTAGCTAACAGTAGTTAAAAAATAATGGTGCCATGGTGTTGGCCCTTGTTTAGCTCTCTGTATACTTGTCTACTGTGACCCCTAGACCAGACTTAAAACCAGGTATTGTCATGATCTATTTTTCCTTCTTACCGGCAGATTTTTGAAGAAAAACAAGCAAACAAAAACCAAAAAAACCAAAAAAACACCAGGAAGACAGAATAAAAAAAAAAAATCAACTCAACACATCCCTAATTTCAAATTAGCACGATTACCCTTTTTTTGAATGCATTATTGGAAATCTTTTCCTTATACTTTTAAAAACATATTGCAGCTGTCATAGTTGACATCATTTTGATTTCCACTTTTAAAATTAAATTGGTGCTTTTCAACTGGTGGTGATTTTGCCTTCTAGGAGACATGTGGCAAGGTCTGCAGACATTTTTTGATTGTCACAACTTGGGGTGGGTAGGGTGTGCTACTGGCATTGAGTGGGCAGAGGCTAGGGATGGTGCTCAATAACCTACAATGCACAGGAAAACCCACACAACAAAGAATATCTGCCCCCAAATGTCAGTGGTGTTGAGGTTAAGAAAACCTGTGTTATATCATTAGTATTAAATCACAACTTCTGCCCTAGCCGGTTTTGCTCAGTGGTTAGAATGCTGGCCTGCAAGCTGAAGGGCCCCAGGTTTGATTCTGGCCTAAGGGCACATACCTCAGTTGCAGGCTTGATCCCAGGCCCTGGTTGGGGTGCGTGTAGGAGGCAACCAATTGATGTGTCTCAGATCAATGTTTCTCTCTCTCCCTTCCACTCTCTCTGAAAGTCAGTGGAAAAAATATCCTCTGGTAAGGATTAAAAAAAACGATCACAATTTCTGGTCTGAACAAGCCTTACTTTTTAATGCCTGAATTAAACCTCTCACTAAGAGGGATCTATCACAATTAACTTATCTCTCTGATGTTGGACTATTAGGTTGTTCCCAATTTTTCTCTATTATAGATAATGCTGCAATAGACATCTTCACTCACTTTTTTTCTGCTGAATTATTTCCTTAGGATAAATTCCCAGAAGTAAGAAACACTGAAGCAATGGGTATAAATATTTTTTCATGTTTCACAAGTCATATTGCCATTTTGCTTTACACATAGATTGAAACAAATTACTCCCCACCAGAAGTGTGCAAGTTTTACCAAAACCTTGGCAGTACTGGGTGTTACCTTTTAAAGCAGTGAGAGGAGACACAGATCTCAAATATAGAATCAGATCTCTAGTTTGCCTCAATTTGCATTTAAATTGCTACTCAGGAGGAATATTTTTCCATACTTTCTTTCTATCACTATTATTATTTTTAAAATCTGAATCATTTGCCTTTTGCTTATTTCTCTAACTGGTTCTCAATGTTTTTCTTTTAAAATTGAATGTGATCTTAGTGAGTGTAGATAATAATGCTGTTATAGTTAATGCAATTATTTTTGAACTTTAAAAAAAGTTTTACTTTCATCTCAGCAGCATAGATATGTCAATGTTTCCTCCTAGAATTTTCACTTACAATTTTAATATTCTTTTTAGGTGCTGGTCACCTCACCCAAGCTGCAGCCTCTATACAGAGAGGCCCTGGGGAAGAGGAAACGCTTCTCTAGCGATTGATGTCAGCCACCCAGGTAAGAACAGTACTTGGTCTCTGACTGTATCCCAGGAACGAATTTCTCTTAATCAAATGAAAGGCCTTAGGAGGTGCCACAAGGCAGAAAGGAAAGTAAATGTGAAGGAGGATATCACATTCAGTGAGGAGTCTGAAGGACCCGCATTAAAAAAGGGCGCTGTACCTTTAGGACTTCAGAACTAGCAATGTTCCATACCCAGCTATTACTAATATGCAAAAAATGCCTTATAAATACTTGATTCTGCTCACAGTGGGGAGGCAGTTCATTTGAAAGAGGAAATGGGAGCTTGGAGTTGAAACATGTCTGCTTGTCTCCTTTCCTTTTTTCATTGCTCTTTTCATCTCCCCACTTCCCCTTGTAGTTTTCATCCCCTCTACCCCCGACTTAACCCCCTCCTCCAACTCCTAGGAAGTGGTTGATGTCAGTTGCTACTCTCATTTCTATTTATGGATTCACCTCCGAGGCCCTGATCCTCAGCCAGGCGTGGAAGGGGTGTCTGAGGAGCTAGTCCCCGGATTTGCCATCCTTGTATTGGAAGCGGGAGCCCCTAATCTTCTGCTCCCTTCCCGAGCGCAGACACCACAGGAGAGTGTTTTCAATCCAGCCAGTAGGGGGCATCCGGAGGCAGCCTCCAGAACCTGGTACATCCATGAACCCAGGCACGTCTGCAAAGCACCGTCTGGCTTTCTTTCTTACCCACCCCTCAGAAATTATTTTCCAAATCTGGGTCTGTGACTTCTCCTTAAAGCGTGGTGATGCCAAAATATTCCACCTTTGGGGTTTTTTCTCCCCTCGCAGCTAGCACAGTGATAAAAAAGTAAAAGCATTTTATGTGACTGAACTCCTAATATGGTCAGACCCCATTGAAAGGAGGGAGAGGGTGAGTCAGTGGGGAATTAACAGAAAGGAAGGAAGAGCAGAAACTGCTGATGCTGATAAAGATCAATTTTGTGTGATATCCTAGCCTGCTTCAGAGGGGGAAGGCGACAGCGAAAGGAATCCATCAAGGTACGTAACTGAAATCTGCTGGGCAGAAATTTGTTTCTAAATCCTTTCCAGATGCTTTATAGTAAACTTGAAATTAGTCATTTACATGGAGTAGGTTGAGGAAGTAGTTAAAATTGAAGTCAGTGATTAATCTAATAAAGGGCCATTAGCCTCTAGAAGAGGTGGGGAGGCGAGGAGGCTACCTCCCCCTCCCCCACTCCACCTCCATTTTCTCTGTGTCTAGGGCCTGGTGGGGCTCCCTAGACTTTTTGCTAAGTGGCTTTTCTTTTGGGGGCTACCGCGAAAGGAAATGAGACTACTGTGACTTGAACAAACCAACTGGTTCTGGTGGGAACGACCCCCTCCTTTCACTAAGGAGGCTGGTGAAGCTCTGGGAGCTGCTTTGCCACAGCCTCACGGGGAGCCCAGGGCTAGAGTGTCAGACCCTCGGCCTGGTGCTCCTCTCTCTGACTGCAAGGCTAACAGTTCAGTCTGGGACTGAACCACCCTTTCATTGCAGGTGATGTTAGTTCTCCTGAAACACAGCTACGGGAGTGTGTTTAGGGTGTGTGAGGTATTGGCGAGGCCTTTGGAGTTGTGGAATTATCAAAATATAGCATATTATCTTTTCCATAGTTACAGACTCTCTTAAAAGAGAAAAGCTTCTAGATCCCTTACAAACAGTGTCTTCAAAGTGGGAATATATATATAAAAAAATGCAAGCATTGGTTCTGTGGTTGCTCAGTAGTGGGACGGGATGGCTCAGCTGTGTTTTACCTCAGTGGAGGGCCGACCCAGGCCTGGGTTTTTAACAGTGAAAGTTCAGGTCCTTCCACAGAACCCAGCTAGTTACACAGATGAAAACAAAACTGCTTTTATCATGATTGTTTTTTAATGAGTGTGAGGAAAGAGGCGAAAGCCAGGCTGTGGCAGGAAGTCGGAGATAAGAGAGAAATAGAGATCAAGCCCCCTCACTCCCCCAGGCTGTCGCAGGCAGCGAGAGGCCTGAGAGGCCGGGAGCTGAGCTGCTTCTGCTTCAGGTTCGCTGAGAACCCGGTGCAGCTGCAGGAATTCCCCTGCGTTGTCTCTCCAGAGAGAGTGGGAAGACATTCCCAGCCTCAAAGCTTCAAATGAAGGAACAAAATTGTAAATATTTGGGAACATATGCCTTTGAATCACTGATAGATGTTCCTAACCCATCCAGATGAGGCATTTATCTCCATTCTTTAAGGTATCCTTGTATTTTTTTCTTGGTAGCTATTTTTTCTCCCCATTAGGAATGAGAATCGGAGTGGAAAAAATGGGCCCATTGCCACAATGTCTTAGTGCCTCAGCCTCAACGGCTGATACCTTTCTTCATTCCTTGTTCCCTTTTTAATGTTGCAGAAACGAGGGAAAAGGTATTCAGCTTATTCACGAACATGAAGAGCCAGACAAAACATTCCAAGTCTACGAGTTAAGGAACCTTTGTGATTTTATAGCTCATTTGTCTCATTTTATTGATGAGGCAAACGAGGCCCAGAGAGGTGAAGAATCTCATTTAGGGTCACACAGCAAGTCAGGACAAAAACCCCAAAGTTCTGACTCCCTACCTCCTGCCCATTTAAAGTCAATACTGTACCTGCTTCTCTGGCTTTTGGATCAAAGGTGAGGTTTCATTAAGATTCATGTGAAGATCAGTTCCAGATTCAGTGTTTTCTATGATAGAAATTAGAAAGAATCAAGGTTGTCAGATCTAGGTCTCTCATGAATTTTTATAATACCATAAACATACACACCTAGTTCATATGTGTTAAGATTATAAACACACATACATACACCGATGGCATTCATATTTACTCACCAAATAATACCCATAACCTCTATAGGCACAGTTTAAACCCCATGTTACATAGTGTCAAGACCTTTTATTTTCTTGTTTTGATTTATCTTTAAAAGAACAAAATTAAATTCTTTGTGCTACTAAAACTCAGATAAAGCTGAAATTAAAAAGGAAATATTGATGGAAAAAAATCTGCTGATGCTGTCGAATATAAATTTTGTATGATTGTACTTTACAGAAGCAGGAAAATGCTTCTGCAACCTTCCAGAATAGAGCAATCAGAGACTTCCCTTTTCCCTCACAATGTGGTGGGGCAGCAGGAGAGGTGGGGACATGATGCCAAAGTGGGGCTGCTGGGAGGGGACTAATGGAAATCCTGGGGCTCGCCGTGAAGCAGGTGCGGCACAGACACTGACACTGTGTTGACATGTAATCCACATGCCTCTCCTGCACAGTTGGCTATCTCTGCTCCCTACAGGTGTGGAAACTGAGACTTGGAGGGTAAAGTCACCCACTCAAGGTTGTATAACTAGTGAGGTTCTGAGTAAGGATTTGAGCCCAAGACTGCCTGACCCAAACCCCAAGCTGCAAAAGGATAGGATTTATTTTGTTTTTCTTTCTTCCCCTTAGAAAGTAAATTTAATGTTTATAAAGGGATGTTTATTTGAGGAACAGATTTAGCCAGGCACATGGCTCCTCTGTCAAAGGCTTTTAGCCTCTTGTGTGGGACGAATGTCCAACAAAAAGTTCTTTCCATGCTTGCTACTCATAAGTAGCTCTTTTAAGAATCTGTGGCCATATGGGACTCTGCTTCTTTGTCTCTTTGACCTGAAGCCTCTAGTCATTCCTTGTGGGCTGACCTTTCCTTTTCTGTTGTTTCTCAGCTGTCCTCTTCTGTCTTGTTTGAAAATGGCTCCTGCACAGATTTAAAACATTTTAAAATTGAAAACAGCTGGGGAAACTGAGGCCCAGAGAGTGGTTTCATGTGATTGGCTCAAGGCCATACCTTGAAATAGCACAAGACCGGATCTCCTGATTTAGCATCTTGTACTTTCCCCTCCACATCACACTGCCTCCTGTTAGCCTCACTTGAGCTTGCCACATCCCAGCTGCTTGGCCTCTGGACAAATCCAGCCCAGCAGAATTGTGTTGTGATGAGGTTCATTTCACTGTGGCTTGAAAGGAACCATGGGTCTCTTAGAAATGAAACTTATAAATTCTAACGCATAAGGAAAGTTCTTGCAACACCAGGAGAATGAATCAGTCAGCCAGAGTTCAAGAAATGTAAACACATTTTTAGATAGGAGGCTGAAAAATCGCTTAAGACTTCTCCATCCCTTGGGTCAAGACCCTGATAATTTACCGAGGTCCAAACTGTCAAGGAAGAGACACAACTCAAACTGCATTCCTGGCAGATAAAGCAATGGGGGTGGTAAAACTTCCTCTTTGAACAATGTGGGAAGATCTACCCCTGTTATCAAGCTGAAGAAACTGACTAACCCATTGACCAATACAGACAACTGGCTGTGAACACAGACCCGGTTCTTTTTCATCATTCCCGAGGTGATGTGTACAAGCACAGATACAGGCTGCACAACTTCCAGGCCTGCCTGAAACTTGGAACTTGGGGTCTTTCTGTGATGAACATTTCTGCCACTAACGAGATAAACAGAAAACACATTCCTTCCCTGGCAGCCCACCACCAGGCCTGAGCAGATTTTCAAATGCCAGCATTAATCTAACCACAGGCTTTTAGCAGGGAGATAGCCTTCCCACCAGATAACCAGGTGGTTCAGAGATGACCCTTACTAGATGGAGTCTCATCCCAAGCCTCCTCTGCCTTCTTCAAATCATGGGATCCTTCACCAAACACTCAAGACTTGAATAGCAGGAAAAAGCATCTGATTTTAGCCTGGAATAAGATGCCTTAATATGTGCTTCTATTTAAACCGATGTTAACTTTAATTGCCAAGTTGTTTGTTGTTCATAGTTTTAGATAAAAATGAAAGATAGTCATATTTACTCCCACTGTTTCAGACCACTGATTTTCCTTGGTGCTCTGGTCAGCCCCATCTGGTATCAGAATGGAGACTGAATTCCAAAGGGTCACCTTATCAGGCAAAGTGGGCCATCTGACTCCTTCATAGACGCGTGTCAGGGCTTGGGAAAGAACTTCAGACCCATAGGCTCCAAAGTGGCCGAACATTCTGTGGTCACAAGGGCAGTAGCTTTTGGAGGTGCTGGCAGGAGCCTCTCTAAATATGTTTAGGGCCTTTTCCCACACATACCCTTCTGAGGCATGAGTAGCCTCTGGTCGCTAGTATGCTGTCATGGAGCTTCCCCACACTTGCAGTGGGTCATCATTGAGGAGGGGATCTCTTCACTGCCAAATAGACCTCAGAAAGCACCGTTGCCCTCTCACAGCTTTGCACATGGACTTGCAGCAGAAACCAATAGGAGGAGGCCTAGAAGTCAGCCTTTGTACCTTCATGGTTTTGTATTTTTGGTCAAAAATGGAAGATGCAAAGGCAAATTCCAGATTATTAAAAACAATTCTTTCCAGTATAAACTAAACCATAAAAGGAAAGATAAATCTGGTTCCTTTATATAGCCCTGTTGACCTTTCCGTAAGAATGATATCTAAAAATACTTATTTTATATGATATGACTCAAGACGCCTATGACCTGTAGAGTGTTTATTGTGTAATAATAAATCTCAAGTCTGCTTGTTTAATGTCGGAGACTGAGACACAAGATGGCCTTTTGGTATTGTTATTATCAAATTCTTGGGATAAGATTTAAGACCTTGTTAATGCTCCATGTTTTCCCTTTAAATCTTCCTGGATGATGAGGAGGGTGAGAAGGGGCATATCAAATAGTTGCTCAAGACCTGAGAAAGTCTCCAGGCTAAAGACATACCCCAGGGAGCTCTATTAAAGGAGACAAGTAGACAGATCTAGAAGATATGAGTCATTCTGAATTTAAATATGGAAATGCCTAGTAAATGCAAGGGCAATATTTTTCTTCCAATTTGGAATAACAGTTCTTTTACTTACTTACGTCTTCTTAGACCAAGGCTAGCTCAGTCTCAAGGGTCTGGCTTTAGCTTTGGGAACACCAACTTCTCTCAAAACTTCATAAATTATTTTTTATGGAGAGGTCCAGTGGTACATGGCAGTTTACTAAGCCCAAAATGGAAGGCAAGCTAGATAATGGAATTTAAATTTGACTTGTGTAGCAGCAACAAAAAATCAGCAACATGAGAAAACCTCCAATCAAGATCTATCATAAGATTAATAAGGATGCCTGTGGTGGAAGACTGTATGGAAGAAGGGGATTAAAAAAGATTGAAGGTAGAGCTACATACAAAGGGACCAATCCATTCAATTCATGTAGTGGTCTTAATTCTACAGAAAATATTGTTCTTGGTCACTTGCTCTCAAACGGGTAAAGACACCTGGTCTCCCAGCCCTCCCAGCCTCTAGTCTTACTCCTTCAATACTTTTTTTTTTTTGCTTGTCTAATAAGTTTATTGTCTATATGAAAAATCTTAATAGAAAATTGTTGTTTGGTTTATTAGCTCTCAGCAGCCCATTCCTGAGCTCTGAGGAAGCTTGCTTTTTTTTTGAGCTACCCGATCTTTCTTCTGGGCAAGAGACATTTTGGGATGATTCCACCTCTTCTTTTTAACTTCTTTCCTAGGCTTCTTCTCATAGATTGGATTCTCTCGTATAGCAGCATGAACTTTCTTTTACATCTCCTCCATCATGTCTGGAGTTATGTTGTTCTTTATGTACTGAGAGAACTGTTTCTTGTAAGCATCTTCATCTTCTGCCATTAGATAATGCATATAATCTGCAACGTTCTGACCCATGATGTGCTTCCGGTGTACTTCTGCATTGAATTCCTTGCTTTCTGAATCATAACCAGGGAATCGTTTGGTGCTGTGAGGGATAGATAAGCCTCCACCTACAGCTCCCTTCAGGGCCCCAAAAACTTTATTTCCAGTAGTAGTTCTGGTAAGCCCTGCATCCAAATAGCAGGTGAAGGCACCAGGTTGACCAGCAATGTTTTCCGCATTATATTCATCTCCAGTCACCTCCACCTGACCTTCATAGATCTTGTCCATGCCAAACCTATTGAGAAGCCTGCCGGCCAGCAGCAGGCCAGTACAATATGCTGCAGCGTAATTTGTCAGGCCAACCTTCACACCATACTTTGGGAGTTCATGTGTATAAGCTGCACAAACTATCATATCTCCTTCTACACGGGCATAAGCAATCTGACAAATAATATCTCTGTTGGTTACACGAACTATCATTCTGTACTTAGGTGTGTTTTACTTATTTTTATCCTGGATTTCCAAGCATTTCCGGGCATAGTAATCAGTTTTACCCTCTCGTCATCTTCTGAATTTCACTTGGTATCTCTTGAGGTAGGCCTTATTTTTGACGACTTTCACAAACCCCATTCTGCAGAAGACAGACCACCGTCCATGGCTCGCCACAGACCTGCAGTCCTAGCCCAGCTCCAGTGGGGAGAAAAGCTCAATCCATTCTTTACATAGCTGGGAGAATCATTTCTCTAAAATAAAAATCTGTTTATGTCAATTCTTTGTAAACAGGACCTCACAGCCTTTGGGATAAATTCCTTAGTTCTGTCTATAGCCCTTTATAATTCAGCTCTTGCTTACCCCTCCAGCTGCGTTTCTCACCGCTTCCTCCCCTGCATGTGCCCTGGGGTCCAGGCATTACAAGCTGCTCACATTTCTCCCATGCTGTCATTATTTCTAACCTTCATATGGTCTCTTTCCATGAAGCTTCCTTTCCTCTTCTCCACTTGGCTACTTCCTACATATATCCTTAGAAACTCAGTGCAAGTGTCCTCTCCGTCCAAGAGCCTTCTCAGCCTCCAGGTGAAGGTAGCCTGTGCTCATTCATAGTTCTAAGCACACTTAATTACTTTAAAACACGGACTTTGTCTCTCAACTGTATTCTTGTGCCTAGCACTGTATTTGGCATTAGTAGATAGTCAATTAGTGTTTATTGAGTGAATGAATGAATGAACAATTTTTATGTGCTCTATAAAACAGACTCACATTGGGCGTGTTCCGATGCTGGTGTCTTCACTAATTTTCAAATGACAAATTGTAAAGAACTAAGATAGTAGCAAATGAAAATCCCTAGGTCACAGGGAGATGTGTGAAAGAAGCAAGAGAGAAAGTAGGAGGAAAAGGTCCCCGAGGAAAAGCCTCATGCTTCTTTATGGCCCTTTTAATGAGAAGATAACAAATGTCTGAAGGGTGATAAAATAGAAAATGGTATTTATAGATTATTAGTTAATGAAAATTATAATTTTTTGATTCCTTGGCAGAACAAAAATTAATATACCAAACCCTTTTACAGACAGAAATATAAATGATACACATACACACATCCCAGCCTGGAAAGGCCTTGTGCTGAGTACCCTGATCCCTCACGCATATCATACGTTAAGTGAACAGCAGACCTTGACTACTTTGGGAGGGACACATCCTGAGAATTTCAAGAATCCTTAGATTTGTGAATACCCATAATATATCATATTCCCAATAAAACTAAAGTAGAAATGAAAAAAGAAGAGTTTTTTAGACTCTTAATGAGTCTAAAAATGAGTCTATAAATAAATGAGTCTATAAACAAAGGATTAAAGTAATTTATAAAATGATTTTTTGGCAGAGAATCATCAGATTGTTAGCCCACTTTCTCTTACTTCCATCACCAGCCCCAGCAGTCGGCCTTCTCTTTTAAAGGCCATTAAAAAATAATAAAAAAAAAATATAAAATATATATGTTTACACAAATCAATGTTCTTTTAAAAAAAAAATAACTTCACAAGTGCTATTGGAGATGTTACAATGAATATACGCTACAATGGATGCTGAACAGTTGGGTGGGTGCACTCACTGCACTCATTAGCTTAGTGATGGTCTCTGTCTCCCACCCTCATGATGTCTAAGATTTGACTTCTTGCTTCTGCAAAATGGCAAATTGTATGTGTCCCTGACTTCTGAAGTCATTTGCAAATAGCTGAAACTAATCTTCAATCCACAAATAACCAAGTCCACCATCTATCTGATTTTTTAGAATCCTATCATTTTTATCTGCAAATGTTTATTAAAACAAAATGACCAAAAAGAAAACAAAGAGTTGTGAAAACTCTATAGGTGATTCCAATGAATAGATGTTTTAAATTGCTCTTTGAACTCAATTCCAGGGGATATGGAGAATTTTTAGAGTAGTGTTACATCCATTTTCCTAAAAACAAATGGAGAATGTTAAGCACAAGTAGACGTAAGAGTTTTTCCTTAAGGCTATTGAGCAAATCAAGGGAACAAATAAGTTTGCTGTATTCTGAGCCCTGAAAGAGGTACTCTGTGCTTATAAGGGCAGTGCCATTGAAATGCATTTTCCTGCAAAGACTGTGGCCTACATGGTGGCGAGACTCCCAAGTCATCCTTAAAGAAGCCTATTTAACCTGTATTATAACTGGACTCTTGTTATTCAATACATATGAAACACCTATAGTCGGTGTGTGCCAGCAACAGCCTGCCAGGTCCCAGAGGTACTAGTAGATCCCTGCCCTTAAAAAGCTTGCCGTCTAATGGAGAGACAAGCCTAGTAAGTAGACAGTTTTGTAAGAGAGCTGCTGCAATGGGCTAAGCACCGGGTGCAGTGTGAGCAGCTGAGAGAGGCCTGCCACCCGGTCGATGGAGAGGATTGGGCGGGAGGGGCACAGAAAAACTGCCTGGAGGGAGGTGGACTTGAGAACGGAATTGAGAACTGAATGATTAGTAGGAGTTAGCCAGGAAAAAGGGTAAAAGTCGGGGGATAATAGAAAGTAGAATGGTGGTTGTCAGGGAATGGGGGACGGGGAGAATGGGGAGTTTTATTTCATGGATATAGAGTTTCAGATTTTCAAGATAAAAAGAGTTCTGGAGATCTGTTGCACAACAATGTGAATGTACTTCACACTGCTGAACTGTACCCTTAAAAATGGTTAAGTCTGCAAATTTTATGTTATGTGTATTTTACCACAATTTAAAAAAATGTCGGGGGTTAGGAGGAGATGAGAAATTGTGCTCCAGGCAGAGGGAACAGTATTTCCGAAAGCTTGGAAATGAGAGAGAGATTTGCATTAGCCTAAGGTCTTTTAGTAGGAATAGAGAAGGAATACGTTTTCTTTCCCTTTCTTGGATATAGAGCTTGTTATGGGGCAATTCTGAAATAGTTTGTCTTTGGGACTCTACCATGTCCCTTTCTGTACTTTTTTCCTTCTTCTGCCTCCCTCCCCATATAGCTAACATTCTCTGTTAATCCAAGCCCTCTGGGGCACTGTACCAGTCGGACATGTTTCAACGCTTGAAACTCTACGTAGCCTAAAATTACCCACCTCTCTTTCCACCCCATCAGAAATTTTAGTCCCTCAGCACAGCTGTTTTCATCTAGGTTGCAAGAAGATAGCCATCTAATGAAACAAATTTTTACTAAAATGTGAATGACTATTAGCTTCTCAGTATCAGTATTTTAAGGGAATACTTCTGAATCCCAAGTAAGTCTATTATCAGTGAAATTTAAATAGTAGAATAGTAAAAATTATAACATATTGGTCATATTAGGAAGAATATTTTTGGCCTGGAGAGCTACCCTATAAACAGGCTTATCTTGCTTGAAAATCTGTCTCAAGAGTTTGGTTCTCCCAAATAATTTCTTCTTTTTTTCAGCTTCCCTCCTTCTCCCATATCTTTAAAAGTTGCAAATCATTTTCAGTGTTACCCACAAACTCTGAGCCACATTGTCCTAGATGAAAAATGAAGATAATAGAATTTATCTGATGCTGGTTAAGGGTCATTTTAAGTCAGGAATTTCCTAAATTCTCACATATCATCAGATGGGAATGTGCCTATTTAGATTGACATCGCCACTAACCATGAGCAGTGGTAAAAAAAATGCAGGTTTCTATGGTTCAGCTCTCAGCTTCACCACTTAGTTGAGTGACCTTGGGCAAGTCACCTGACCTCTCTAAGCCACATTGTCTAGATGAAAAATGAAGGTAATAGAATTTATCTTCTATCATTGCTGTGAGGATGAAGTAAAATAATGAATGTAAAGCACTCAGCAAAATGTTTGGCATATCAAAGATAGATAACAATGGTAGCTACCAGCATCATCATCACCATCATCACAATCATCACCATCACCATCATCACCATCATCATCATCACAGTCACTATCATCACCATCATCATCACTATCACCATCACCATCATCACCACCACCATTATCATCACCATCACCATCATCACAATCATCACCATCATCATCATCACAGTCACCATCACCATCATCATCACTATCACTATCATCACCATCATCATCACCATCATCATCACCATCACCATCATCATCATCACCATCCTCCTCCTCCTTTACTGGAGGGCTCCTATTTAAGAGCTGCTTTGGCCCATTTCCAACAGAACTGACACCGAAACTCTTCCCACCATGGTCAGCATGTCCACCCAAGAAGGATGGCAGGAAGGGTAATATGGAATGCCAGGCTCCCGAATATTTCTCTGCTTACAGATTTTGAGATTGGCAAGCGGTGATTTTGCCTTTTTTTCCTTCTAGTTTTGTAGTCCCTGGCAAAGACAATTCCCTTTACCTAGCTCTGGCTCTGGCCCTCCATCTATGGCCTTGCTTCCTGTTCCTTCAGCAGGTCCTTCACTCAGGATTCATTCCTGCCTGCCCCAAAATAAGCAGTGAGGAAGACCACACACATTTTCCTATTAATCAAAAACTATTTTTAGGACAGAGAGAAAGTCTTTACATAACCATCCTTTCCCTCTGGTCTGAAGCAGAAGCAGCAGTGGCTGTGGGTGGAGGATGGGCTACAGAGTCAGCCTATGCTCCTACTTTATGCTTATTTCTTTATGGGAGAAACAAAATATAAAAGGGAGCTTGGAAGAGGCAGAACTGGCCTCAGTGCACCATTGAAAATATAAGCCTGAGATAGTTTCCTAGTTTGTGGTTGTGCAAACATTAACTGTTATGCACAGTTAATGATGGTGGTGATGATAGTGAAGAAACTATCCTCTCAGATAGTTTCCTAGTTTGTGGTTGTGCAAGCTGAGCTGTGCACAACTCTAGGAGTCAATGTCCACCTCATTATAATGTCAATTGTGCTGTATATGACCTGCAGAACCCACAGGACATCCCTGCAAATTCTCCTTCCTGGGCCAGCTAAGCACAGCACTTGGTTCAACTCAACTTCTCTTCCCCTCTGATATTTACACTTAGACCACAGCACACAGGGCTGCCCTGAGTAACTCATGAGGACACATGTTTTTCAGGCTTTCCAAGAAGTGAAACTTCTTTCTCACTTATTGCTATATTTGGGGAGAAATTGTGTATTTCTGGAGGTGTAGGTATAAAATAATATGTATGTGAGGCAAATGACATAGATGAGAAGTACAGGTGACTTTTTTGGGGAAAATCTAAATGTTTAAGAGACATCAAATACTAGATCCCTCACTTTCATGACTGATATTTGAACTGACAGATTCACAGGCTGAAAAACAAGGGTTTTTACTTGAGAGTGTAAAAAAGTCTTGAAAAAAGCTATTTTCCTTACCCCAAAACACAAAGAGGATTCCTTGGTGCTTAAGCCTTGTAATGAATTGGATGGTTTTGAAAATTCATAGATGCTGTCATGAAGAGAAGGTTGACTTAGTGCTTCAAAAGCATGGAAGAAAATAATATTTTTATTTAAGATGTTTGAGAGTGAAATCCTGCAGGGACCACAATGTAGAATTTCTGAGAGGAGAACTTTTGACAAAGCAAAGCACAAAACAGTTAACGTTTTACACGTGCTGTGAGGAGGTGCCTGGATTTGAATAGCAGGTGTGTCTTGGGGCCCAGTGTGCACAGCAATGGCAGGATGACAGGCTCGAGTGAGGAGCCCCAGCCTCCAGCTGTATGTAGCTTGAATATAAGTGTTGGACCAGGGAGACATGAGGGATTCTAGCTCATCTGATTACAGCCAAAGAGACAGACAGGCTTTTGCACAGCCTGGAAGAATTTTTGTGTGATCTCTTAGAGTCACCGTGGGTGAGAATTATTCTCCTAGCTGTCCTTGTCAGTCAAAATGAAAATTAGTTAAAACAATGCAGTGCAATGGCCAAAGAGGATTGGGATGACAGACCAGAGAAAGACAGTAAAGTGGGGGCAGATAATAGATAGCAGAGGTCAGCTGAGTGGATGGGAAAGGAAAGAATGGTTTTTAGTAGGAAATTTGGGGTCTGTGTGCGTGTGTGTGTGAGAGAGAGGTGAGATATCAAGGAGATAGCAATAGGGAAGAAAAGGTCCAGGAAATCACAGAAAATTCAAACTGGAAAAGGTTTCTAGATCATCCCTCTAACTACCCACTAAAACTAATTTCCAAATACATGTATGTATGTATGGATGGATGCTTCACTGTCTCATTACTGATAATAACTATACTAGAGAGGTTGCCAGAAATGAATGCTTGGGCTTATTGGTTTGCAAAAGTGTGGTGGAGCTTGGAAAAGCCTGCTCCTTGGTGCTTTTCCCCCTCTGCGTTCACACACGCAGCCACATGCACGCACATAACTTAGGCTGAGCGGTGCAGCTTGGGATTTTGAGAACCAACACTGGAGAGAGGGAAAAGCCATAATTAGTGTTAATTGTTGACCCTTCAGTTCAAGAATAGATGTTCTGGAGAATGGGAAATGAGAACAAACATTAATTATTGAGTAAGGGACCTTGGAGACAGACACTGTGGATTAAAAGGAGAGAGATAAATTGCATAATGAATGTTAATTTTCCCTCAAAGAATTGAGTGCTCAGTGGTTGGAAGGGAAAAAGAAGCTAAAACAATCATGAAAGAGAAACCTCAATGTGTGTTGGGGTGAGAGGGTACAGGAGGGTTACACAAACACTTTCCATCACTGCTTCCGCCTTGCCCTTTGCCTCACTCACAGCTCCCAAGAAATTTGCTATCAGGGTTTTCCTTAGAACTCATTATTTACCACAGTTTTCTGCTAGGAAGCTCAACCCCTTCCCCAAGAGCACATAAGCCAGAAGACAGCCACTTCATTACTGATGGGCTTAGAGGCACATGACACTGGAATTTGTTTTTTATGTGTGTTGGTGGGAGTTTGACTTACAACGAGGGAGGTGGCCAGAGCTGAGTGCCATGCGGGAGAGGGACTCCTATGGGAGTGACTTGGGCTCCAGGGTCTTAATTGTTGTTTTATCTTAATTAAAATACAAGACATACACACACACCCTCTCCCAAAACCGATCCTCTTAACTGAAAGTGAAAACAGAAAAAAGGTAATTTGAGTAGAAAATTAGAAATAAGAATTGTAGCCAATTTTGTTGAGAGGCTCTACAAACAGGCTCATCACTGGCTGCTCTGATTCAGAGTGCTGGTTGATCCCACATCCAGTGGGTGGCCCTGGGGGTCTTCCTCTTGCAGCATCTCCTGCGTCTGTCCACTGTCCTCATCAGCTGTTATCTGGATGATTCTGCAGTGCACTAAGTGCACGACCTTTTCTCTTGCCTGTTCCTTCCTGCTGGCACACATGTTGGGTTGTATGACATCCCTCCTCAAACATCTGTGATTCCTTGTTGCCTAAAAAGCAGCATTTCACTCCATCCTGAAACAGGAGGCCTTACCTCATCTGGCCCTGGCCTGTCTTTAAGCCCTGTTCCCCACCATGAAGCCCCTCCACAGTCCTTCCCCCAGGACCCTCCTCATTCCACATCATCTCATATGAATATTCTACTTTCCTATTTCTTTGCTTTTGTTCGTGCTGCTTCCTCAGCTGTTTATGTCTTTCCATCTTCTCTGTTTATCCACTTCTACACCTTCTCAGAAGTCAGTGCAAATGGAGATTCTCTGCAAAAACCCATCCTAGTCCCATAGGTTAGAATTAATCGCTCCTTCCTTGAACACCCCCGACTTGTGTTATTTAGGCTTCTATTATAGCACTCATCTTATTCCACCCTGTGGCAGTTAGTTGCTTGTGAATCTGTCCTCACACGGACTGTGAGGTCCTTGAGGGCAGTAGCCACAGGGCCCAGTGCCAAGCCTTGGGATGTGGGGTGAGGAGAGCACAACCTCTGGGACAGACAGGCCTGGGGATGGATCCCAGCACTGCCACTTACGAGAGGACACCCATGTGCATGTAGGCATTAACCTCCTTGTGTTACCATTTCCTCACCAATGACATGTGAATGAGAACACTCATTTCCTAGGATTATTGGGATGATAGAACGAGATCCGTATGTGGCAAAGTGCCTGAGAACGTTCAGTCTCAATATTAACACCCTCTTTGTCTCTTGTACATGGTAGGTATTCAGTACATTTTATCAAAGGAGTCAAACACACATGCAATGGCTCTTCCCTCTTTTAGGCCCATGGTATTTTATGTCGGAATTTTACATTAATGCTTTACAAAATGTACGGCAAGTATGATCTTGTTTGATTGTCCCAAGCAATGTGAACCAGGATGGTAGATATTATAGTTGCATTATATGAGTTAAGGAACATGGTAAGCTGCTATAACCAAGAGACTCCAAAAGATAAAGATTCATTTCTCTTTTGCTATGAGTCCAGAGGGAGGTGGACAGACCAGGGTGGCCCTGCTCCATGAAGTTATTCAGGCACTGTGGTTCCTTATGGCCCTGTCATCCCATGGGGAATCGCCCTTTTTCACATGGTTGAAGCTATTTCACCACCACAACCAAGTCCATGGGGAAAGAGGGGGAGGGCAAGCAGCTTCCTTTTATGGACATGACCTGGAAGTTTCGCACATTACTTCCCGTCACATTTCATTAGCCAAAACGTAGTCACATGGCCATACCTATTTGTAAGGGAGGCTGGGAGATAGAATTTCTAGCTGGGCTGCCATGTGTTTCGCTACCGTCAGGGTGGCGCCTTCTGTTAATAAAATGAGTAACGGGAGAATGGATACTGCGGAACAAGTCTCTGCTACTCGTGGTTCAATCAGTATTTATGGGCAATGTTCTGGGAGTACCTACTATGTTTTCTGAGACGTTCAGAAGTAGATGATGGGAATCTACCCACAGGAATTATAACTCTAGGAGAAGCAAGAAGAAAAAGGGTAAGAAAGATCAAAGAAATGAGGGAGTGCCTACTGAGAACCTAAAGCAGCAGCAATTGGTGTGGGCTGAGGTGGGCAGGCGAGACGTCACAGTGAGGTTAGGACTTCAGGCCTGGATGGTTTGGCTCAGTGGTTAGAGCATCAGCTCGAGGACTGAAGGGTCCCGGGTTCGATTTAGGCCAAGGGCACGTATCTCGGTCGCTGGCTTGATCCCTGGTGCTGGTCGGGGTAAGTGCGGGAGGCAACCAATCGAAGTCTTTCTCTCACATTGATGTTTCTCTCTCTCTCTCTCTCTCTCTCTCCCTTCTATTCTCTCTGAAAAGCAATGAAAAAATATCCTCGGGTGAAGATTAAAAAAAAAAAAAGAAAAAAAGATGGGACTTCAGCTATTCCTTGAAGCCTGGAAACTTGGACAAGAGGGATGAGGTGCAGCGTGATACTGTGGGAAGAGTTTTGATCTAAGTGGGTGCAGGAGGATCTGGGTTTGAGCCTTAGACTTGCCACATAGAGGCTGTGTGACTTTGAGCAAATCACTGTACCTCTTTGGTCTCAGTTTCCTTATCCATAAAATGAGAGGTTTTCAAGCTGTGCTCTTATAGCTCTAATGGCTTTCTATATATCACTCCCTGCCCCAGCAACCATCTTAGGAGGGGAAGAATTAGCTGGACTGGGGAGAAGTTAGGGGGACACAGTCTGATTAAATGCTTCCTCTGCTTAAACACTGGTGAAGGCGATGCCTACATTTCCTCTCAACTCTAGTGTTTTCTGAAACAGAACAAATGCAAGGGAGATAGAAGTCATTGCTTCACAGGCTCTGTAAAAAATATATGTGCCATCATATACAAAAAATAAAGAGAAATTAAATATTCTTCAATACTTCATATTGATTTTTTCTTTAAAAAAATAATTTCTAGTGGTTCAGAAAAATTATTTTTGACATTTTCCTTCTTTGAAAGACAAAACGTGGTAATGACACCACATTTTCCGCCAAATATGAGGTAGGAGAATTTTTGTGCTTATAGGACTCGGGAGAGGTTTTTGTCAAAGGAAAGGAGACCCCCTAGTGCTTTTTGGTGGCTCTCAGCTGGTGGCTTTCGGAACATCTTCCAGTGTGGGTTGCTGAGACTGTGCTGGTTTCACTGTGGTGAGGAAAGAACCCTGCTTCTTTCTGAAGTCTGGGACAAACATAGCTTTGACAACCTGCCCTGTGACACATGGGATGGACCAATTAGCCCCATGCCGAGCCTCATGGGAATATCCCATAATTTCTGTAAGGAGAGACACGAAGTGACAGTAGAGAACTGGGTCCTTACAAAGCTGCTGCAGCAACTGCCTCTAGGCATGCTCAGTTCTTCACCAGCTCCCTTGCTGGCATAGCAGCCAAAAGCTTCTATGCCTCTGCCTCACTTCTGCCCTCCAAATCTTATGCAAGTGCATCTATCTGGTATAACCCAATTTGCATCCATCCCTTTAACTGTACAGGTTATCTGGGAAATGTAGTTTTTAACCTTCTAGCCTCTGCAGTGCAGGAAGGCCCACTGAAAGGAAATGCTGGGTGCCATGTGGAGCTACATTTTTCTTTATTTTAACTTTTGACCTGAGATCATGAGAACTGCTAACATCCACCAACATTATTGCTTATGGATTATTAATAAACAGTGATTGAGTAAAGGGCCTTATTGTCACAAAAGCTTCCTCCTACCTTCCTCTACTTCTTCTCACCAGGAGATAGATGGGTTGTAGATCCCCTGATTCAGAACTGATATTTGGAAAATGAAAATAAGAATAGTCATGAATTATTGAGTGGCTGAGATCCTGCTCCAGGATTTAGATAGCAGAACTGCCCTATTGAGTCTCCTTGGGAAAGGGGTTTATTGAGTAACAAACAGCATTACAGCTGGAAAGAACCTTGAAATCATCAGTTTAACATTTTCCAAAGTGTGTTCCCAAAACTACTTAGAGCCACATGATGTTTTGCTAAAATCAATAAAGTACTCAGTGGTCAAATAAATTTGGGAAACATTGCCTATCTTCATCTCGAAGAGCCATAATTCAAATTAGCATATTAGAAGCTCTGTGAAGTCCTGCAGTAAGGAATCTACTAAATTTTGTCCCACTGATTTTCCAAACTTATTTGGCCTCAGAACCTTTTGTTATTTTATGTAACTCTTGTTAACCTTGTAAAGAATTGGAGTTCTTTACAATCTGGACATATGCTGGGAGGATGGATCTAATCCCAACCCCTCTTTTTCTATATGAGGAAGCTGAGTTCCACAGCGGTGAAATTATTTTCCCATGATCATGGAAATCGTGGTGTTAGAGCCAAGACTTTGAAAATTTAGTCTAGAGTTCTTTCTTCTTCCTCATGCTGCCTCATCTAAAGGACTTGTCTTTTAAATCTCACACATCTTCACAAAGGCAACAGCGGCTAAGAGAAAACCTACCCCAGGAAAATCATACTTTGTCAACTATTCCACCAACACTGAAGGATCTAGCCCATGGTTCCCCACAACCAACATTATCACAAATGACAAATGGGGAGAACAAAGAGAAAGTCAACCACTGAGCATATGTTTGCCCTCAAATAATCAGTGTTTTGAGACCAGCTGGGATATCCTCGGACCCTTTATCTTTTTGTTTACCAAATTGCAGACCACCAGGAAATGACACCAAGTATATTATCTATTACTGAAAACACATTACTCTCAAATCTAGTGACTTAAAACAACAAACCTTTATTATATCTCGCACTGTTGCTGTGGGAATCTGGGAGTGGCTTAGGTGTGTGATTCTGGTATAAAGTCTCCCAGGAGGCTGCAGTCCCATCGTCAGCCAGGGATGCAGTCATCCCTGAGAGTTCATTCTGGCTGTTGGCAGGGAGCTTCAGTTCCTCGCCATGTGGACCTCTCCCTTAGACTGCTTGAGTGGCCTTATGATAGACATGGTGGTTGGTTTTCCCCAGAACGAGTAATCCAAGAGGGAAAGCAAGGAGGAAGTGCCTTTCATGATCCAGTCTGAGAAGTCACACACTGTCACATCTGTTATGTTCTATATTTACTAGAAGTGAGTAACTATGTCCAGCCCACACTCAAGAGGAGGAGAATTAGGCTCAGGGCTTGTAGACATACAGGGGTGCGCAAAAGTAGGTTAATAATAATAAATAATACAATAATTAATAAATACATAATAATACAAGAATAGAATGTTTTGCATACTCACAACTATAAACCTGCTTTTGCCTACCCCTATATTTTAAAATCACTACACCAATAAGAGTTGCCAGAAAGAAGGATGCTAATTAAATTACCCAAAACAAGACACGTTTGGAGGTGAAAGTCCATTTAGGACAAGAACAAGTGCTAATTGGAAACTCTGCAAGAGATCAGGAATTTAAATTTACATGGGACCTGAAGGCCTAAATCATTGGCACAGATAGCCTTGAACTTTTTGCAGTAAAAAATCTTCTGAACAAAAGAACTTTTGAAAGAAAACTTCTATTGCTGCCGGAGAATAGATTCAAGTAGATTTGAATCAAGAATAAGCAGTTTAGAGATCATATCCAATGTTTTGATTTGTATCCTTCCAAGTTGACTTTTCCTTTCTTCAGCATTTGAATTTTCTGAGTGTTGCAATACCCCAACATGACCAAGAGGGTCAAATTCCATCTCTAGTCTTCACATCTTTTTTTTTCTTTTTCCTGAAGGTTTATATTCATTTCTCTATTCTGTCTCAAAGCAACATATCATGATCTAATTTCCTAAGAATTTATTTCCAAATAGATGTTGACAAAATCTGAAAGTCTGAGAAAGATGAGACAGATCATACTCATTTCTTTACTGAAGATTTTTTTTTTTTTAAATTAAAAAACCCCCACAACCAACTATGATCCCAAAAAAACTTTCCTTTGTGGCACCTGGGGTATTCGGTCAATCAACAAGCATGTCTTGAACATATGATAAAAATAAGAGGTTCTTTAGGACTCATACATTTGGGAGCTAAACAGAAAACAGATGAGAATAAATGCAATAATCACAAAAGTGGGACTGAGAGAGAGGAATGATCTGAGGCTACATCCAGGCAGTTCTATGTGATGAGGTGGATTTATTAAGGAAAATGTCCCAGAAAAGATAAGCCTTCCCCTGGAAGTTAAATGTATTCTAAATACTTGGAGGAATTTGAGCAGAGGCTAGGAGATAAGAAAGACTGAATGTTTGGGCATCAAAGAGAAGAGAAAAGGGTGGGCCTGAATATAGTGGGAGATGAGATTGGACCAGTAGGGTGGGGATGGTGATCGAGATGAATTTGAACAAACTGAGCTGCAAAGAGTTTGGTATGGTTGGAGCAATTCTTTGCAAGAGTTTTTTTGTTTTTGTTTTTTTCCACTACACTGCTTCTCAAAGCAAAGCAAAGCAAAGCAAGACAAAACAACAAATCTTTCCCATTAATAGAGACTCTTATAAAGCTAGATCTGTCCTATGGACACTTGTAGGGAGATGTGGGTTTGAGGCCTTGCCTCACCTTCCAGGGCACCATCCAATCACCATTAAAACTAAAGGCCCATCAACTGTATATGGAGGAAAGGCTAGAGAGAGGCTGATGACTGACTGACTGATTGATTGGCTCATTCATTCATTCATTCATTCATTCATTCATTCATTCATTCATTCATCCAGCAAGCTCACAGTGAATGCCTTTATGTTTGAAAGGCAAGTAGGATCATTCTTCATGGGACTGGGACAAGATGGCAGGCAAGTCTCCATTTATTCAGCATAAGTTTCCTTTCTCTCTCTCTCTTTCTTTGTGTAGAAAAATTATTAAAAGATTTTCAGTTCACATGTATTGTGATCCTATGTATGCGTCAGGCACTGTGCCAGGGGCCAGAGATACCAAAATGACTAAAACATCATATCGACAATGTGACAACAAACTTAAATATTTAACTGAAATATTTCCCTCTGTGCTTCTGACTTTCGCTTTGCCAAAAGGGGAGCTATTTTTCCTGGAACAGAGTGTACAAATGTGCAGCAGGTGAACAGAGTTGTATTTGCTTTCCAGCTGTTGTACCAGCTGTGTCACAATGACAGCAGCCTCCACCTGTCTGACTCCCTCTTCTGCCAAGTCAGAACCAAGTTATTTTTATGCTTCTATCATGGTGATGGAAGTTCTTAACACTGGATTTGGAACCAAGTGCAGTCTAGTTTCTGGAAACCACGTACTAGGTGGCTAGTTCAACAACAACAGACACAACGTGAAAAATGCAGCAACAGTCAGGGAACTTTTCAGCTGCTGTCAGTGGCGGAGTCAATCCTCTCACTTCAGATGGGATGGGGAACCTTGGACACAGAGAGGGATGGACCCAAAGTCATCTGACAGCATAGAGGACAAGCTGGTGCTGCTCAAATCTCTTGCTCTGAATCCATGGGCTTTTTATTAAGCCAGTCATGACATAACCCACCAAACGAGTGCAGACTTTAACCTCCGTGAGCAAGAGGCCTGCCGGCTGTACGACTCATGCATATACATCCTGATGGTTCTTGGGTGGTTGACACTCATCACCCTCTGACTTCATTTTTTTTCCCCCCTTTGCAGAATGGCTGCTGCCCAGAGCCAGCATCTCTTTTCCAAAAAGTGAACGTGCCAGAAGGGATTTTGGAAACTGCCTTGATATCTGTCAAGAGCCAGATGATTCACAGCAATGAACCAACACACAGAACAAGAATTCCTGATTGGGTTACCAATTAGCCACCTCCACCTCTGGAGGGTGCTTGGAAAGAAGAGAAAAGGTAGTGTTTAGTTTGGGCAAATACCAAAATGGCTTTATCATTTTCATCAAGGCATCAGCATGGCCCATTAGACCTCCTCCAAGCCATTCCACGGGAACTTCTCTCTCCAGATACTCTAGCAAGAGCAAACTTGTTATGCAAACATTGGGTTATTATGTCTGAGCTACAGAAGCACCTCTGTGTCAGCGAGAGGGGAGAAACTGGCTGACTCGCGTCTGTTTTTAATGATGTCTCTGCTGCCGGGGAGTTTTGGAAGCTGCAGGTAAAATTTTTCCCTGTGAAAATGAAGCTGACCTGGGATTTATCATCTTACCTTCACCCGACAGAAGCATCTCTGTTTGGGTAGGCCCTGGGATTGACAGGCAGACGTTTTCTCCATCTGGACCCAGCAAGAAGTGTCCCAGTGAGGGGTCTCTGGAATCTTCTTGAAAATAAGCACACACATGGGCAGTGTTAGCACCAGTGCAGGGAGGGAGGCCAAACCTGGACTGTGCTCCCTGGATCTGGTGGGAAGATGCTGGCATGCTCAGGGGCCCGCCAGAGTCCAAGGTCAGCCCTCTTCCTGAGACTCTGCAGAGCAGGACCCTTGTTTAGTTCTCTGGAGGTGAAGGCAGGATGAACAGAGTGGGGCTGCCACTAGCTCATGTGATGATTTTGTGAGAGTCTGGAAAACGTGGCCCCCCTGGGCTCAAGCAGCCCCACAGGGGCCAACCGAGGCTGCAGAGGGAGGTACCTGTGTGAAGGGAAGGGAGCCCCTTCCTCTAGGTGTGTGCAGCTCAGCCTCTGGGCACAGGGTTTGGTGATTCCGGCCTCTGCTTTCCCTCTTCTTTGCGCAGTGCCCAACATGTACAGCCATGCCCTCCAGACTGATGCTGGGACTGCTTAGTGACTGCAGGGGGCTCAGGCCAAAGGGGAGAAGGAAGCAGTATTTCCCTCAGTTGCTTAGAAAGATTGAAGGTGTTTGTTTACCCCAGCCTTCCCCATCTCCAAGGCAAAGGGATCAGGAGTAGAACTGGCTACCAGAAAAGTAGATGTTTACAAGTACACAAACACACACACATACACATGCATACCCACAAGGCAAGCATGCACACAGACACAACCACACACATGCAGGTGTGAATGTATGTACACAAGTGTACCACACATGAACAAGGACACATATCAACGCATGCACCTTGTTTGCAGACATGCACCTACGTAATCACACACATGTGTACACAGGTGCGCATGAATGCACACAAACACCCACATGCACCCACATAGGCATATTAGCATGTGCCTTCATACATGTGCCCTCATACACACCTTCACTTCACACACCCAACCTACACACTTGAGGCTTCAGGCTGCACTCTTATCATAGTCATGGCTCTGGCATTCATTCTAATAAGATTCTCTCTTTATAAGAATGGCTGTGTGTGTGTGTGTGTGTGTGTGTGTGTGGTGATTTGTCCTGAACTATACAGCCTCTCAGGAATGCCCTTGGTGCCGTCATGTGGTAGCCGACATTTGGTTCATTTGTATCAAAACTAAGACAACACCACTGCCATGCAAGTGTGAAAAGGAGGGGATTGTAACAGATTCTGTCTCTGAAATGCTTTATAAGTGACAATGATGTCTTTGGGGGAAAAGGGAGAGAGAGTTGGGGGAGGGAGGAGATTTAATTTTACCATTTCAGCTTTAAACAGAGAAGCTGTAAACACAATGGACTTACGTGTTTAATTGTGGATCTATGTATTTAACTTATGCTTACGAGACTTCAAGTGTACATACTTGGAAGGGGTGTATGGGAGGGAGAGAGAGAGAGATTTACGTAGTGAGGCATCTGTCTCTGGGTGAGCATGAGATGAAAATGAAAGATGTGGTAACTGTTGTTTTCTTGGTGCCTCTCAGTTCCCGCGTGCCTCTCAGAGTGTTTCCCGCAGCCCTGAGTGTGATTCTGCTGTTAACAGATACTTTTTTCACATTGTCTGATGCCCAAACACACACCACCTCCTTCATCTGGTGCTCAACCACAGAAAGCAGCCCAAGGCTGTGAAGAGGGAGGGACAGCTGGCTGGGCTGCAATTTCTAGAAAATAGTTTGTCTCCAGCATGGCACCTCCCAATGGGATTTTCAGGGGCAATTTGGACTTGAAGCAATTTTAGCTTTATGAGCTGCTTTTAGATCAAAGCCCTCGTGGAAGCTGTTACTATACTGTCTTTGCATTATTGCACTTGTATAAGCATCTTAGTCTCCTAGACTGTCAGCTCTTAAGGGTAAGAATTAAGTCATAGAGGGTGTGGCGTCGCCCTGCCTCGCCCTTCAATAGAAATCAGGAGTCCTTCTCTCTCTGTGCTCGGGCCTCAGGCTCTGCCCTGGGCTGGAGGATGACTTCTCTCGGGGGCTCTTCCTGTTGTCAGTGTCACCAGGCGCCCTGGCCCAGAGGGTTATGTTGAGGCCGCCTGGTAAATCCAGTAGCGTGTCTCCCTGGTGAGCGCAGGGAGCTGTGTCATCACATGCTGCGCCAGGAGTGAGGAGAGCACAGGGCAGCTTGGCAGTGCGTGTTGGTGCAGCAAACCCTTAAAACATGTACTGACTCTTTAGGAATATGCATGGTGAACATTAATCCTACTGACATTTTGGAAACAGTGCTGAATTCCCCTTCCCAATGGGGTGGCTTTCAGACAGCTTACATCATGGTTGCCTGGTGGCCCTGGAAGGTGATTAAAATAAGCCTGAAGCTACAGACAAGCCAAGGTGGGGGCATTCAGACCCCCCCCCCCCCCCC